GAAACGTTGCTACAACTTTAAAAGCACAACTATAATGACGTGGGAAAATACCTGAACAAAGCTGAATACCATACATGTAAGTACCCGCGAAAACTTAAGAAAACAAGTGTATATACATGTAAGTACCATGTGTATATCATGTGTATCATGTCAGATAGCAAAGAAAAGGATTCATGCCAAAGCAGTAAGTGAGGCTGAAGCAGTTATCCCATGCACTGCCATAGCATGGGTGAATATGGTGGTAAAATTCAAATTACAGTAGTACTAAGGCTAGCAAAAAGAGAGAAAAAACAAGTATTGTAAGTGCCAAATTATTCATGCTGTTGCAAAATCTGTTTTAAAGAGTCATTATGTTAGAATTTCAATAGATAAGGATTGTAAAGTCAAAAAACTGAGGAAGGCAGTCAAGGAAAACAAAGCAAAGGTGCAATGACCTTGCCACTATCAGAAATAAACACAAGAACCAAGTGTAAATGCAGTCTTGCAATTACCAGTGGGAATTAGTGGCTGGATCTCTTTCTTTTCAAAATTCAGTGTCCTGCCCCATGCTGGCTGACTTCTTAGTTTTAATGGCTTTAAAGATGGAAGAATCTATTATCTTAAGGACTGCAGGCTGTGTTAGTGAAATGGCTTTCATGCTTATTATATGGAATTACTGTTAAGCATGCCTAGCTCTCCTATTTATATTTTTAGCCATAGACACCTGATGCATACTTCTGATATTTAATGCCTTATGCTGCAATAGAGCTATTTTTATTCAGAATAAAAATACCAGATGTTCCAAATAAGCTAATAGTATTATTGTTTGAAGTTAGGCAAACTGAGCAGCTCTATTTAAAACAAAGTGAGGGAACGTATTACACTTTTAGCCTGTGCTTTCTGCAAGTTGTCCAGACGCTGCTGCTTATCGTTGTTAAGCTGGCATCATTATGCCATCTTCTGAGAGACTAAATGCCTCAGAAGGGAGGCCTCTCCCATTTCTGTATCTGTGCAGATAATAGTCACGTCAACTAGGAATGAATGCAAAAGAATACTTCCTGGGCAGGATTGCTGCAAGTCTGCACTGAAATCTAAAGCTTTTGTGCAAAGGGATGCACCAATATTTTCTGAATTAATTTGTATTACTCTTGCATAAAGTAAATAATTTTCAATAAAGCACAATATTTGGGGTTGAAATGAGGGGGTCCTTTGTTTTCTCTGAGCTTGGTTGTTTTCTTCCTGACATTTCATTCCCCAGACTAGTCTGACTGACACTGATGATGTTACTTAGTTTGGGTAATGAAATATCTGCAAGAAAACAACCAAGCTTAGAAAACACCAAGGACTCCTCAGTAAATACCTACACTGTAATATTAATGTCATTTTCATAACATAAAGCAAAATATATTTTTGAAAATCATGGCTACAACCCCCATTTAATTTTGAAGCAAGACCTTGTAGATTTAAGTTACATTGCTTCTGAATAAATTTCTTACATTGCTTCTGAATAAATGTGGACCAAATTGCTTTGACATTGTTCAGAACAAAATGGATGTAAACAGTAGGATACAATACTTGTTTTACTATAGTTGCCTATAACTCTTTAAAGTGAGACCCACATTCATTGCAGGCCCTGGTTTTCCTTTTGGCGGTAAAATCTTCAGCTTTCAAAATGACTTTAACTTTTTCTCAGGTTGTGGAACATCATTTAATAAATTGTTTTCTTGTTTTTGCTTCTTTGTTCTCTTATAAATTGTTTTCATTATCATCAGAGGTGGGAACCTTACAAACTCTACATGTCCCCAGACCCTGATATTGCATCTCTACCTTATGACAGCAAAAGGGTTAAATTTTAGCACCATGATTTCAGCTATGCTTTTCAGAATTTCAGATGGTTCCCATCCCTATGCATAGGCACCTGCAAAATTGCTACATAGCTTCCTAAGGCCACTCAGAAGGTGGAATGGCAATCTTGAATCCTCAACATTGGTCATATCTGCTTCATATGGTAATGTAAGGATTTTCTGAATGTCAGCGGCTTAAATATATGCATCCCAAGGCTTAGATACTTGTATCTCCGAATATCACATCAAGCCAAGAACAGTGTATGGTGCTTTCCTGAAAATACAACTCACCCCAAAAACAAACCCTAGCCCAATTTTAATGCCTGCACCTAAAATAAGCCCTAGCCCCAAAATAAGACCTAGTTAATCCCTTCCCACCATCTGGTTGTACGAGTTGGGGTGAGGCGCAGCCATAAAAATCAAGCTGTGGGGCGTGGAGGATGCAATGAGGCGGTGGGATGCGGAGCTGCCCATGCTCTCCACACTGACTTACCTGAAGGCTCTTCAGCCAGGCGTTCTTCTTCCTGACAACTCGTCTTGCAGCGGCAGATCCAGAAACACCATCCAGGACCCCGTGTGGCCATTGGCCTGCTTCTCCTTGCTGCCACAATGGAGCAGGAGGCTGAGTGATGCACATGGGGTCCTGGACAGGGCACTTGGAGCTGCCACAAGATGAAGCAGTTGTCCAGATGTTGATGGCCCAGTTGCAGGGTACTCGGGTAAGCCAGTGGGGGCGCTTTGTGGCCACTGCACCAGTGCATTGCTCAGCTTCCTTCTCTGTTATGGTGGCAAGGAGAAGTGGCAAAGAATTTGGAGGAACGAAATGGGGTGAGGGTGGACGATGAATTAAGGCAGGGGGTAGGAAGCTGCCCTACATGCCGCATATCAGCTTACCTGAAGGCCCTTAAGCCAAGCCACCTTCACCCCTCCCCCAGCCAGGACAGCCACACATCCCTTCACTAACCTGTTTTCCACCTCCGTTCTCCACTGCCTGTGTGCAGGGCAACAATAGTCTGTGGGACTCGGTTAAAAAAATAGTTCAGACCTTTCAATTTCTCACACACAAAAAAGATCTCGCAAAGTTGGAAGGTCTGAACTATTTCAACCCCTTCAGCTGCTTTCAGCACCACTCAGTTTACCATTCCACCTCCACCAGGCTGGTCTGGTGGCGATTGCCTTCGCCGCACCCTGAACAGGGATTGACCATTCCTCAAGCCCTGCCACTGATCCCGGGGGCTACACTGCCATGGACAGACAAAAAGCACAGCTGTTGTCTGGAGGAGGAGGAGGAGGAGCAAGGAGAAGAAAGAGGGAAAGTGGCTGAGTGAGAAGCGCCCTGCTGGCCAGTTACTGAAGCACCACCGCTGCAGCGAGAGCGAGTGAGCAAGAGAGTGATCCGATCCAATCTCTGTGTATGTGAGACAGAGAAATAGGGAGGGAGAGAGAGAAAGAGAGCAATCTGATCCAATCTCAGAGAGTTATACCAGGACTGGTGGCAGTGCGTGTATATGTGTCTCCCTCTCTCCCCCCCCTCTCTCTCACACACACACATTGGATCAGATTGTTCTCTTGCTTTGTCACCCCACCTCATGGCAGCAGCACCAGCCCTGCTCTCCAAAGCTGTCTGCAGCTGATTTGAGGCACGTAGACTGATGCCCTTTGGGTGCCTGCCAACATCTACCTCCTGCAGCAGTCGGCCTCCACCTGGTCACTGCCTCCTATGTGTGTGGGGAGGGGAGCACCCGGCCAGGCCAGGTGTTGAGATTAAAAAAAAAGATCTCCAAGTGCTTATTTTGGGGCCCAAAAGAAAATAAGATTGAGTCTTATTTTCGGGAAACACGGTAGAATACTTCAGCCAAAGTGTTCTTTATTTGCTTATATTCAATAGACAGAATCTTGCCAGACTATGCTGTTCCTTTGAGAGATTTCTAGGAATGGCTATCCTAATGCTCAGTCTACAATTTAGTTCTAGGTTGTGTTCTCTCTTGTCTTGCCCCCCCCCCTTTGAAATATAGCAGGGGTGTCAAACTGCATTTTTTGGAGGGCCAGTGGGAGGGGGAGGAGACAGGACAAACAGACTCCTATAGTAGCTTGCCAGCCAAAACGGGACGGCCTAGGCAGCCTTCACAGCCCATTTTCAGTCTGGGCAACAGCTTGACCAAAATAGGTCATGGGGGACAGTGGGTAGTCCCCATTCACCCCATTTTTGTCTTGGATGGCCTCCAGCACCCTGCCAGCCAAAATGAGGTGCGGGGGGGCTGCACCCCCCACATCCCATTTTGGCTGGCAGAGTGCTGCAGGAGGGGTACATGGGGCCTCCTGCAGTCCCTGCACCCTATTTTTGCTAGCAGAGGTGCTATGGCCAATCCTTTGCTATTTCCAGGCCAGCCCCATTAGCTGGATCTAAGCACCCCACAGGACCACATCCAGCCCATAGGCCTTGAGTCTGACACTCCTGAAATATACTCATATATTGAAATATACTCAATATACTGGAAACTGTTAACTGTAGTCCATCAGACAACCTTCCCTTCTGTAGGCACCATCCCACACACCAAAATTGATTTTGTTTTTATTGATAGAAAATGCTGGTGCAAGTATTGTTTTATGACAAATTTAAGTAGCATTGTCATTAAGAATATAAAGCACTAATGTTGTATTCTATAGGAGCATGATGGCACATGTGGTTAGGCTGCTGGGTTGGAGGTTAGTAAGCCTGCATTCAAGACTGAAGTGGAGCGCTACAGTGAGGCGGGTTGAGCTCCCATCCTTCACTCCAATTCCTGCCAAGGACATGAAAGGGCCCCCAACTGGATGTCCCACAGGCAGTGGTGATGTCACTGGCTAATACTTTCATCTCAGAAGTTCCTTGATGCTTCTGACACGAGTGCAATATAATCTTGTATTTTCTATAGGTGAGCAGCACAATGTCTGAAAATTCATCTGTGAAGCTGGTGGGCATCACTCCTCTGCAGCAGATGTTGGCATCTGGGACTGGGGCCCTTTTCACCTCCCTTTTTGGTAGGTACATTGTTATCAACAGTATCTTGCAGCTAATTTAAAATGTGTGCATGCGTGTAAAAATGTGTACAGGTGGTAGTCCTCAGATTACAATAGCCCTTGGGACTGGGAATTCTGTTGCTAAACAACACAGTGGTAAAGTGCAATGTCATGTAACTGTTGCTTTGCGATGGCAGTTTCAATAGTCCTGGTTGCTATTTTTAAGTGAGGACTTCATGTGACTGCAACTTCCTACTGTCTTTTCTATAGAGTTTGCTTGTAGGAATTTGTCCCAGCAATTTGTCTCCTTGCATCAAACAGCAAACAGCCTATTTCAGCTTCAGCACATCCTGATTAGCACAAGCAGCTGATTGTCGGTTGGATCGGCCTCCTGACTCTGCTGTTTCAGGCTGCTGGGATTGCCGTCGCGCACCCCATTTTCAGCCTCTGCATCTCTTTTCACCCTCCATCCACCCTATTTTAGGCCGTTCCAGGCAACGGGGATCAGAATGGGCGGAAAAATAGGGCACACAGATGCTGAAAATGGGGTGCGGAAGCTGAAAATGGAGTGCACGGAGGCGGCAATAGGCTATGGCAATCCTTGCAGCCTGAAATGGCTGATCGTCGGGAGGCTGTTCCAACCAACAATCAGCTGCTTGTGCTAATTAGGCTGTCTTGAAACTGAAACAGGCGCGGTTCCGGTGGCAAGATAAGGGCGTGTAGAGGTGCAGAAGCCTGTCTGCGGTTTCAGCTTATCTCTTCTTGCGCTTGGTGTGATCCCTAGAGGATACCCGAATCCCGGAGAGATTCGTGTCGGTGTGGGGGAAACTCGAGTTGCAGTGTGGGGGAAGGCAACCCCCTGGCAGCGAAGAGAAGACCTCCAGAGCCCAGCGTGCAAGAGCCAGCCACCTGTCAATGGCGGCTCCAAAGTCCGGACTGCCTCCGATGTGAAAAGCGAGTAAGTGACAGTTCGTAAGATTGGTGGAGAAAGAGGTGGCAGGAAGAGCTTAATGGAGAGTGAGATTGGCAAGTGATTTTTTGTGCTAATATCTGTCGGAAGCCTGAAAGAAAAGCGGCTAAAAAAAAGCAAAAGTTTGAACAGCGTGGGTGGAAAGGCTCGTTAGACGGAAGTGAAAGTGTGGATTATAGTGACTGAAAGGAGAAGACTACAAAGTTAAGAAGAAATTGTTGGAAAGAATCGGAAAGCGGTGGAGAATTTTGAATTCTTGAGTAGACTGTTATATTGATAGACTTCCTAGGTTAAAAACCCGAAGAGGAGTGAGGCTGGTGAAGAAAGGGAAACGCGGCGCCATACCAGATACATTGAATCTCCGAAGTCATTGCAACAAAATAGCAGACACTATTTGCTCAATAGACCTGTAACTGATTCTGAAGAGAACTTCATTCTATTCTAGACTAACTGAGGTGAAGGCTGTAAGTGAAGGAAATTAAGATATTGAACTTAGAAGCATTTACAAATAATAATAATAATAATAATTTGGAAGTTTTGGAAGAGACTGATTGCTGGCAGCTATTATTCAGCACTTTTTGCCTCCCTGCTTCCGGTGTGTTTGAAGAAAAGTACAGAATCCCAGAAACGGTGGACTTAAATTTGACTCTAAAAATTCATCTTCTTATCGCCCTCCCCTCTTCCTTCTCGGTTTTCCCTTGGTATTACTCTGTTAAACTTTTTTCCCTCTTTACTATTTACTGATTTTTGTTTGGTGTTAAGGCGAATTCTTTTTTTCTCTCTATAACAGCTATAAATTTATCTATTTAGGAAAGGGATATTGATTGTTAGACTGAACTGCTAACTGATTTAATTGTTTTGAATGATTAGTAACATTAGGGATAGTCATACTTCGACCAGTTTGATAAGAAAAATAGTAAGAAGGTTAAGAACTACATAATTAATAAGTATAAGATTTAATATTAATATTAATTATTTAATGCGATAATAGTATAATTTAGTGTTTGAATATAATCAACTTATTGGGGGGAAAGTAATACTGTTTTGACTCAAAATATTGGTGACTTAGAATACTTAGAATATTTAATACTAAGATAGGGTTAGATAAGATTAGATAAAAATTTATATATATTTACAAAACCTATAATCTCATAAAACTGAAACCTGGTTGGACTTGACATATTACTTGTTATATATATTTATCATATGGATTGTCATATAGTGTTGTATAGTGTTTTATAATATTTGAATATAGATTGTACTAAATTATATATGTGATTGAGGACATAAGATCAAAAATAATATATATTTATACATTTTAGTTACTAGTTAAGAGCACAGAACTCAACTACTTAGTAGATAGGCAGACTAAGTAATTAGATATTGAAATTCTAACATAAGGGTTATAATACTGAATGGTAATTTGGGACAACATAACTAATATAATGCAACAACAAAAACAACTATTAAAAGAAATGACTTCTACAACAACCACGGCCCTGAAAACGGGAAGGAAGGCTACCCCGACTTTAACCACTCTGGCAACAGCTTCGCCTATAATCCAAAAAACCATAGAAGAATCGCTAACAGGGGAAAAACAAACTAATGTCTCGAATGCTAATATACAATCAACTTTGTTAACCCTGCAAGAATCAATGACAAAACTCCAAGAAATAATGATTAAAAATCATAATGAAACAAGAGCGGATATTAGTGAATTAAAAGAAGAGATGGGAAAGTTAAAAGCCGAGATGAAAGCGGACATTCTTAAGGTAGAGGACAAGATTGGAACACTACAACAGGCTCTGGAAAAAAACGAAACAATGATAAAAGAAATAGAGACAAGGACGGAACGAACGGAAAAGAATTTGGAAAAGGTAGACGTAGAATTTAAAAATGTAAGCAAAGAAATGGAAGATTCATTGGTCTACCTAGAAATGGATAAGGCGGCTGCATACCTGAGATTCCAGAATGTGGAGGAATCTAAGGAAGAAGATCTCGAGCAGCTAATGGCAGAAATATTGGCCGAACTGTTGGGAAAAGACAAAGATGACATACTCAGGGAATTTGATGAAGTCTACAGGGTCAGCACCAACTATGCGAGACGTCATAAATGCCCGAGAGAGGTCCACATTCGTTTTGCGAGAAGGAGTGTTCGAGATATAATATTTAGGATGTCTAGAGACGGAACAATAATGTATAAAGGCAAAGAAATTTTGATCCTTAAGCAAATTCCAAGGAAAGTAAGGGAAATAAGACGAGACTATAAATTTTTAGCCAGTTATCTAAATCAGAAAAGAATCCTATTCAAATGGCTAATCCCGGAGGGGATGTTAGTAACATGGAAAGAAAGGAAAATCAAAATAGATTCTATGGAATGGGCTCAAGACTTTATGAACAACTAGTAGGCATGGGAGACCAAAATAGTAAGGAGGAATTAAAAAGAAATTCATGGGAAGACCAAAGTCACCATAGAAATAAAAAAGATGGATCCCCAAGAAACCAAGGGAACGACTACCCACCTCAGGAGAGAGAAGAATCTAGTCCACAGCAAGCACAAGGAGAGAGCAGAATTATCACAAGACAAAGAGCGAAACAGATCTAACTAAATGGAGGAAGAAAAGAAACTTCTACCCATCAATATAAATGGTCTAAATTCGACGACAAAAAGAAAAAGGATAATTGCTAAATTAATTAAACAAAACGCCAACATAATATGTTTACAAGAAACTCACATAAGGAAAGTAGATGAAAGATATTTAGACTGCCCGAAACTAGGGAAGCTATTTACTGCACCAGCAGATAAAAAAAAGAAAAGAAAGGGATTGCAATATATGTGAAAGATGATCTAAAAGCAGATTTAGTTTGGTCAGACCCGGAAGGAAGAACTCTGGTTTTACAGATTTCGATCAATACCATTTCAATTCTATTAGTAGCAATTTATGCCCCAAATGAAGACCAGAAAGAGTTTTTTAAACATTTACATAAAAAAATAATAGGATTTGAAAAAAGGAATATCTGTATTATAGGAGATTTTAACTCTATTGCTGATTACCAAAAGGACCATAGTAATGCGAGGAAGAACAAAAAAGGAAAAATAGAGTTTCCCAAGACATGTAAGGAAATGATGAAAGAGTTAAATTTGGTGGACCTATGGAGAAGATTATACCCCGAAGAAAAACAATTTACATTTTACTCTAACCCGCATCAAATATGGACAAGAATAGATGTGGCGTGGATGAATGGGGAAATTGCAAATGAAATAAAAGGAATCGAAATTTTACCAAATGAATGGGCTGATCATAACCCAATTCAAATAATTTGGAAAGGTAGGGAAAAACCAAAGAAAAGATGGACATTAAACACCCAATTAATAAGAGAAAAAGAGTATGCTAATAAACTTAAGGAGGAATTAAACTATTTTCTAAAGGAAAATGATAATGATGTAACCTCGAAACAAAATATCTGGGACACATTGAAGGCAGTTATAAGAGGTATAACAATCTCTTATAATTCCACGAGAAATAAAAGAAAATATGCTCAACAAAATAAATTACAACAACAAATTAAGGAATTAGAAACCCAATTACAAAAGACCCCTAAAGATCAAAGAGTACAAAATCAAATAATAACAGCCAAACACAATTTGAACTTAATTGAACAAGAAAAAATGGAAATAAATTTGAAAATGACTAAACAAATTTATTTTGAATATGCTAATAAACCAGGGAGATGGCTATCTTATAAACTTTAAAAAAAAGAAAGAAAAGAGATTGATATACCAATTAATAGACGAGAAGGGCGACATACAACAAGAGATAGAAAAGAAAAAAGACATTGTACACAAATACTTTGAAGAGTTATATACAAAAGAAGTCAATGAGGATAAAATAAGAAATTACTTAGATGAAACGAAAGACAAAGTAATTGGAGATGAATTGATAGAATTATTAAATAAAGATATTACTTGGTCCGAATTGAAATCAGCAATAGAAAATCAGGGGAATAATAAAACCCCGGGGCCAGATGGGATTCCGGCAGAATTATATAAGGCAATTGTGGAACAAATTGGACCACTGATGATGGAAGTGTTTAACGAGGTCTTATTGGCAGCCAGGATGCCGGACTCGTGGAGGGGAGCATTGATTTCGCTGATCCCGAAGGAGGATTCTGACCTTAAATATATTAACAACCACAGAACAATTTCACTCCCAAACACCGACTACAAAATATTCTCCTCTATTATAGCTAACAGACTAAAACAAGTTTTAAATTTGTATATACATGAAGACCAAAATGGATTTCTCCCGACTAGACAGATAAGGAATAATTTAAGAACAGTAATAGATGTTTTAGAATTTTATGAAGCCCATCCCGAAAAACAAACTGCACTTATGTTTTTAGATGCAGAAAAGGCATTCGATAACTTAAATTGGCAATTCTTAATTCAAAAAATTTATAACATGAATTTAGGCACCAAATTTGAAAATATCATAACAACAATTTACGATACACGGCATAATAAACGGGGAATATACTCGACCAATAAAAATAGGAAAAGGAGTTAGACAGGGTTGCCCTCTCTCACCCCTCCTCTTCATATTCGCTTTAGAAACACTATTAACACGAATTAGGCAAAATCCTGAGATTAAAGGATTGAAGATTAAAAAAGAAGAATACAAATTGCAAGCATTTGCCGATGATATGGTTTTCTTTATGGAGGAACCAATAGAAAAAGGACATAAATTGATAAAAGAATTAGAACAATTTGGTGCAGTAGCAGGACTTAAAATTAACAGAAAAAAACAAAACTAATGACAAAAAATCTAACATAAGATCAGAAAAGGGAATTAGAAGTAAAGATGGGAATACAGGTATCAAAGAAAGTTAAATATTTAGGAATATGGCTAACACCACATTGTAAGACACTCAAAGAGAATAACTATGATAAATTGTTGCAACAAGTAAAGAAAGATTTAGAATCATGGAGTAGGTTGCAACTCTCACTACTGGGCAGGATTGCTTCTATTAAAATGAATATTCTACCAAAATTCTTATACTTATTTCAGATGATTCCAATCAAATTACATATTTTTTTTTTTGAAGAACTTAACAAAATAACAGTTAAATTCATTTGGCAAGGAAAGAAATCTAGAATTAACGTAAAGCCATTGCAGGATTTGAAGAGCAGGGGCGGATTGGCTCTTCCAAATTGGGAACTATATTATACGGCAGCCGCTCTAGTATGGTTGAAAGATTGGGTGAATTTATTTAACAAAAGAACGCTACTGTTAGAAGGCCACGACTTGCAGAGGGGATGGCACGCCTTTTTATGGGAGGTAGGGAAAGTCAATCAGACATATTTCCACAGACACTTAATTAGAGATTCACTATTAACCAATTGGAAAAAAGTACGGAAAAAACACTATTTAAAAGTACCGATTTGGTTATCGACAATGGAGGCGATGATTCATCCAAACAATCTGGACATTACTAAAATGATCAAATACAAAGATTTATTAGATGTACAAGGAAATTTGAAAACACAACAAGAACTGCAAGAGCGGGGATTTAAAATAGATCAGTGGGTATATCTCCAAATTCACAGTAGATATAAACAAGATAAAAAAGAATTCGGAATTAATAATAAACTCCAGCACTTAGACAAAATTTTACAAGATCAAATAAAAAAAATATAACTCAATTTTACAACTACCTACGAGAAGTAGAGTTAGAAGAAGAGACAATCAAAGGGAATATGATAGCCTGGAGTAGAAACGTTGGACGGAGTATCACATTAACAGAATGGGAAAAGATTTGGAGTAGAAACAATAAGATCACCAAATCGGCAGCTTATAAAGAAAACGCTTATAAAATGTTTTACAGATGGCACCTTCCTCCTTCGAGGTTAGCGAAGATGCACCCCTACACGAGCCCGAAATGTTGGAAATATAAAAGTATAGATGGAACCTTTTTTCATATGTGGTGGTCTTGTAAGGAAACCCAGAAATACTGGCAAAGAATTAGAAAGTGGCTAGAAGACATAACAAAAGAACAGATTGAGTATAAACCAGAGTCCTTCCTACTAGGGATTTTCGACAAACAGCTACCTAAAAAAGCGAAGTATATAATAATACATATATTAACAGCGGCCAGGCTAGCGTTTGCTCAGTGTTGGAAAGTACCTCACATACCTACAGAACAGATGATCATTCAAAAAATCTCAGACTGTGCAGAAATGGACAAACCTTAGCCCTAAAAAACAAAGATTCTTCAATATATTATGACAATTGGAATTGCTGGTATAAATGGTTAGACCAAAGATAGACTTTATATCATAAGGTAAAAAAGAATGGGATAAACTTATATGAGTGTAATATAAAAATAGATATGGATAAGATGTGTGTATATGGTATAAATTAAGAAGAGAAAAGATCTTACAACTGTCAAAAATGAGAATGTTTTTAACTGTTCTTTTTTTCTTTCTTTCTTTTTCTTTCCTTTTCTTCTCTTTTTGCTTTTCTCTCTTTTTTCTTTGCTCTTTTCGCATTTTTCTATTCGTGTATGTATTGTTGATTTGTTTTTAATTGTAAAATTAATAAAATTTGTTTTTTTAAAAAAAGAAACTGAAAATAGGCTGTTTGCTGTTAGATGCAAGGAGACAAATTACTTTGAGGCAGAGGCTGAAGGGTGGGGGCCGGGTGTGGGAGGGGCTTTGGCAAAATTCACTATATAAAATGCACAGACATTTCCATCCACTTTTGGGGGAGGAAAAATTGTCTTAGACTCCGAAAAATACAGTACATATTTTTGTCAGTATCTGTGTTTCTTCCTTGTTTTAAAATTCAGTCAGTGCAACCAAATTCTCTTAGTTTTTTCATTATACATCTATTTCTCCTAGAGGAGTATCTAAGATTAGACTCAAATAATTGATTAGTGCCCTTAGTTTATAAACTTCAAGATCCAGAAAGAATGACAGTGGGGAAGGTGGGTATCCTTGCCTCGTTCTTTTCTCTATTTCACAGGACTTGGTTAATTCACCATTCACAATTATTTGTGATTTTTGTGACACATATATTGTTACATTAATAACTATTAAGGCAGCTTGTTTTCGTTGTGTTGCTTCAACTATTCTCTTAAATGTCCCTTAGCACAGCGGTCCCGAAGTTTTTCAACATGAGTGGAAAGCACAGACATGCATGCACAGCTCCATTTGTGTGCATGGCCCGTGTGCACACCCTCCACTCATGCAAATGGAGCTTCACATGTGAGTAGAGGGTGCTTGCTTTCAGGCGTGAAGTTCCACTCACGTGAGTGACAGACGCTTGCGTCCACACATGACGCAAGCAGAGGGTGCTTGTGCTAGCACATGAAGCTACACTCAAGCAACCAGAGGGTGCTCATGCGCAAAGCTCCACTTGCAGGAATGGAGCTGTGAGCGCAAGCATTTGCACTTGCCCATTTCTTCCTGCTTAGGTAGGAAACCCTATACCAAACGGACAAATGGTTGTCCAATCTTTTATTAAAAACTTCCAGTGTTGGAGCATTTACAACTTCCGGAGGCAAGTTGTTCCACCTATTGTTCTAACTGTCAGGAAATTTTTCCTCAGTTCTAGGTTGCTTCTCTCCTTGATTAATTTCCACCCATTGTTTCTTGTCCTGCCCTCAGGGGCTTTGGAGCAGGGATCTCCAACCTTGGCCACTTTAAGACTTCAACTCCCAGAATTCTTCAGCCAGTTTTGTACTGCTTTGCTGGCTGAGGAATTCTGGGAGTTGAAGTCCACAAGTCTTAAAGTGGCCAAGGTTGGAGACCCCTGCTTTGGAGAATAGCCTGTCTGCCTCTTCTTTGTGGCAGCCTCTGAGATATTGGAACACTGCTATCATGTCTCCCCAGTCCTTCTTTTCTCTAGACTGGCCATATCCAGTTCCAGCAACTATTCTTTATATGTTTTAGCCTCCAGTCCCCTAATCCTCTTTGTTGCTCTTCTCTGCACTCTTTCTAGAGTCTCAACATCTTTTTTTCATCGTGGCGACCAAAACTGGATGCAGTATTCCAAGTGTGGCCTTACCAAAGCATTATAAAGTGGTATTAACACTTAACGTGATTTTGATTCTATCCCTCTGTTAATGCAGCCTAGAACTGTGTTGGCTTTTTTGGTAGCACACTGCTGGCTCATATTTAAATGATTGTCCACTAGAACTCCCAAGATCCCTCTCACAGTTACTACTATGAGTGAGATACCACATATACTGTATCTGTGCATTTTTTTTCTTGCCTAAATGTAGAACCGTACTTTTTTCACCATTGAATTTCATTTTTTAAATAGCGCCCAATGTTCAAGTTGTCAAGATCCTTCTGTATCTTAAACCTATCCTCTGGAGTGTTAGCTATTCCTGCTAGCTTGGTATCTTACAGCACTTACAGCAAGAAAAAAAAAAGTTTTTTTTTTTTCAGTATTCAGAAATCCTTATTATCCCCTTGACATTTAATTATCCAGTTTAATTACCTATTGATGCCAAAGCGGGTTTTTCGGATTTCTCATTCAATTCTGTTCGCTGTCAACGTTAGGAAGGAGAGTGAAAAAAAAAACTTTCCCTTTTAACTTTCATTCGCCGCTTCCAAATCTTCCTTGGGAACGATGTATCTTTTAAAAAAAAATTAAATTCCAGGATACCTTGATTGTTGCTTCTTATCCTGGTCAGCCAAAACTTTCACTTCTTAACTTCCTCCTGCACTTTCTTTTCCGGCTGAGTGCTTCTTTGAGGCGGCCGTTTCAGACCGCCGCTCTTACTGCCTTCGGAAAAGGGAGTTTAGCCAGCTGAGGAGGAGAGGTGCGATTCCCCTCAACCCTGCCAGGTCTCCCCTGTCTTCACCACCTCTACGGGGTGGCTTAGCCCCGAAGCCGGCTGGCTTGGGGCACTCCAGCGGCAAGCGCAGGCAGAACCGTGCACGATCGCGGATTCCTGCCTGCCGCCAAAGCGCTACAAACCGGAACTCCTGAATAGAATCCCCTCGAAAGTAATTTGATCCACCTCTAAATACCCTTCATCTGGAATGTTGCTGTCAACCAAACAGAAAATCTTGCCTAGGATAATAACATTATTTAATAATAATAATAATAATAATAATAATAATAATAATAATAATAATAATAATAATAATAATAATAATAATAAT